ACCTGATCAGTTTCAACCGCGGCCGAATCTGGACGCCAGTTCTGACTTACATACAGATTCAACTTAAGAAACCCAGGTGTCCACAAGTCAGCTGCTGCTGAAACTGATCAGCGGCTGATTCCAGGAAGCCCAGGGCAGAGCAACCCTGCCTCGGGCTTCCTGTAGTCGGCCGCTGGTCAGTTTCAGTTCCGACTTACATACAAATTCAACTTAAGAACAAACCTACAGTCCCTGTCTTGTACGTAACCCGGGGACTGCCTGTACTTTATCAGCCATTATACCCATTTAATTAAACTGAAATAAAATCAAGATAAAAAACTACAAGATGACCAGAATCACTTGCTCCGCTCATATCCATTGGGACATTACAAAAGCCACAGCATACAACTGGTGCCTGAGTTTCATAAGAACCACTTCTTTCTCTACAATATGAAATTCAGTCTTCCCTGGTGTGCGCACATATGCACACAGAGTAGCATCCCCATGAGGGGATGAGTTTATACAGTTTGAGTTGAGAGTGTCTTGCTCTTTAGGCTTCTGGGTAGTGGCTGGTAGAAGTACACTATGAAAGAAAATAATAAACCTCAATATTTATTTGACCATATTTGCATAAGATGACAAGAACTCTCAATTTCAAATAACATCTGATTAATATCACTAAACCACCTGGCATTAGCTAAATGCAGAGTTATTAACACCGTTTATGGTGGTAATAATTTCCATTCACCAGTGTTAGGCCAAATACATTTCTTGGGACATATTCTACTGGAAGGGCTATCTTAATTCAGCATGTGCCAGTCAGAGCATATGGTAAGAAATTCTATATCTATACAGTACCTACTGTCCAGAATCACTTTACACAATATATACCTAAAGCATTACTGAACTGCAGTAAGTCTAGCATTGAAGGCAATGCTCAAGATTATACATGTTACAGAGTAGTGAGAAGGGAAATGCTGTAGCAAGATACATTAAGGCAAACCCCATCTCTTACAAAATACATCATGGGCTCTTTAACACACAGAGCACACAATTTTTACCTTTAAGAAGTCAATGTATGATATACCCTTGCAGGTCAATTGAATGGAACCCAGTGTATTTACCACAATGTCAAGCAGCTGATCTAATATGCTTTATTTGAATTAGTGGCTTCAGAGAGACACATACTATGGCATCTAGATACATTTCCAACTAGACAAACTGAGGAAGCTGAGGGCACGCAGCACATCACCAGAGGTAACGTGCATTTCAAAGGACACTAGGCCATAAAGAGACAGCAAAATGACGAACAGTGGGAAAGATACATAACATAGTAGTGAACCCAGGAAAGTGAAACAAAAAACAGGACTATGTAGCACTTTAAAGACAAACAAAATGGTTTATTATTAAGATGGTGACGAGTTTTCGTGGGCCAGACCCACTTCCTCAGATCAAAAGTGGGTCTGGCCCACGAAAGCTCATCACCTAATAAACCATCTTGTTAGTCTTTAAAGTGCTACATAGTCCTGTTTTTTGTTTCAGCTACACCAGACTAACACGGCTACATTTCTATTAGGAAAGTGAAGTTTGTCATTTGTTTCCTTAACTGCCACAATTTCATCTCCCTTCTATCTCTAGATACTACACTGCTCTTTTTGCTGTTTACCACTGATCTGTTAACTCTGTCTTCACTGCCCCACCCACCCAACCAGTTGCTAGATGGATGTCCTTTAAATAAAGATTGTTTTCTTAGATCACAGTTTCTCTTTGTAACAGAAACCTTAAAGGCACATGCAAAGCTTTCTTTTTTTAAACAACAACAAATCCAACCACAAATCTATCATCACAGATCTGGTAAGTGTTGTAATTGGAGATAATCCATCTTAATAGATCTACCTCAAAATTAAGTCAATCCATTTTCTAAACTTTTCTTGACACAATTATTAGAAGCTAAGATGCAAGATCATTCACATATTTCCAACAGACTACCACATATATTGTTATGTATAAGGAAACATCTAATCCTCAGTATTCGATCTTTAATTCTCACATCTCCAGCATAAAAAGGTACCAATAGCCAACACTGGAGATACATGATGTTGCCAAGTCACGAATTCAGCAAGAGCTGGTATCAAATTAGGAATCCTTATACGCAGTTATACCTACATGGCCAGACATTAGCAAACCACAAAATTCATTACCATATAAAGCAACTCCAAAAATAAAGTGAACCACTCAGATTTTCAAACTGTATTTTGTTGTGTATATGAGAACTTAAAGACATTTCAGAAAGAATAAAATGCCACTGAAGCCAACTTACCTACAAAATAAGCATTTAATGTAAAACATCCTTCTCTCCAAAACACCTACCAAACAAACCAAATACATAACAGCAACAACACAACTACTGTCGAATTTTTAGTGACCTTTAGTCGTGCCAATGTCAACTAATGTTGTCTAATCCCACCCTCCCCACCCCAGCCCACCCCCCAACAACATAAATAATTCACAACTACTGTCGAATTTTTAGTGACCTTTAGTCGTGCCAATGTCAACTAATGTTGTCTAATCCCACCCTCCCCACCCCAGCCCACCCCCCAACAACAAAAATCATTACAGTCACTAATTTATTTCTGGATCCCATGTAAGATATTTGCTGTGTTTTTCATAAAACATGTAATTTTCCATCCTTCAGAATGATTATCTTTCTTTGAAAATGCTTATAGTGCTAAACAAGTATTATACTGCTCTAAAGCCTGTTTCTCAGCTTAAAGAAGACAACCATTTTGCCCTTCCCATAATGCTAAATAAGAAAGGGGTCCCAGCAGAGGAGAAGGAGGTTCTTGGGATCCTGATATGAAAAAGGTAGAGGAGATCCACTGCTCTAAAGATTTAGACATGCAGCAGTCCTGTAAAAGAAAGGTAACTTGGTTATGTGAATGGCAATATTTCAACACAGCTACTACTGCATCAGGCCTTACACATCACCATGATACCAGGGCTCAGAGGAGACCTAGAATTAGCGGAAAAGAAAGTTTCCCTCACTGGAACTGAAAAGGCTCCTAAACTCTTGCTAGACTCCAAAAAACAGCACTCTTGAGATTAGACTGGGACTCGGAGCACTGGTGTTTTGCAAATGGCAGCATCCGGAAGAAAGCACCCAGATCAGACATGAGCAATGGATTATTTCCATGAAAGCACGTGCCAACATAGGTGCTGGAACTAGGGGTACTGGCTTGAGGTGATTTCCATTACATTCAGGGTTTACACTTTAGTTCAAAGGCTCTCTGCTCCCTCACTACACAAACTGTTTCAGCACACCTGTGTGGTACTCTCTTCTGGTCATGTGTTTGGGGTTCAACCAAACAAACGACATTAAAAACGGCAGTTAATAAACATTAGGCTAATTCAAAAAAATGCTTTGAAATGACATGTTCTGTGACAAAGATCAGCAAACTGCTTCCTCAATTTCCTATCAACATTTTAACTACTCAAATGATTTTATTTGAAACAGCAGCATTTTTGGATGCCGACTAGAAAAATCCATGACCAACCTTGCCCAAACCGCTATTACCACTTTGTACTAAAGTGCACATTCGGCTTCAATGACTTCCTCTAGGCTCCATATGGAGGGGACACATCAGTCACTTGTTTTCACCCTCTCTTGCACATTTTCCACATCAGGGGACCTAGGTTTTTACCAACAAATGCCTAGGAGAACCGTGTCTGAATTCGGCCAAAACAGGAAACAGAAATAACCCAGCTTGACTTTCAGTTCTCAGGACAATTTTGCATAACTGGCAATTAGAATAAAGCTGGAAACAATTGATCTGGTCAATAAGAGAAATAAGAAATCCCACAATATCTTTGTGGGGGGGGAGGAGAAAAGATATCAGATCTGTTTTCAGAGCAGAACAATTCAAGACTAAAATCTTAAAATCAGTGACAGTTGGGAAAGGTAAGAAATAATTCATAAGATATAAAATTATATGAATCAGCCCTTGCTGCATAGAACTACCTTCAGGATAACCACTCACCTGCTCGGTCATACAGTATATGGGATCGCTGCAGTCCTTCCTTCACGTGGTCTTCTGTTATAAAAACTCCATCCACAGAGCAACCTTGTGTGCTAGCCTGATGAGAGGTTTGCCCTGCAGTTAATCTGGCCTGAACAGCCAACTGGAGTCCATTTAGTGCAGTTCTTGCATCACCATCACACAGGAAAGCTAGAGTGCTTACAGCTTTTTCTTCAATGTACACAGGGGGTCTGCAACAGAATTAGCCCACATTCTTTTACATTCTTTTCTTTGCAAATAACTCACAATGTTACTTTTTAATAGCATTCACTGAGAAGCCTCTGGATTTAAAGAGCTGTCCTTTAATTCATGCCATTGTGCTGAAGTATTGCAAGGACTCTGAGAACGGTATGTGACCTATGTGCCATGCATGTTATAATGCTTATGCATAATGGCATGTGTAAAAGCTGCAATGGAAGTTTTCAACCATCTCTGAACTTCCTTGCTGTTGTATCATGCAAGCAAGATAGTAACAAACTTCAACAGGCCTTTATTTACCAAAGGTGAAACCTCTTTACAAAGCTGCTGCTGCTCCCCTCTGTAACTCTCGCTCAGCCCTGGCTCATCTCCTCCCCCCTCCTTCCTGTGCTTCCAGATTCCCAACAGCCAATGCTACCAGTTCTAATAATTACAGGCAGCATCTAAAACACCACATTCCCTCCTCTCTTAAGAAGCTCTCTCAATTATAAAATAAACATAGTTGTTCTAACCACAGCAACAGATATGGAACAAGACACTATACTGTTGGCAGAAATATTACACTGAAAACACTGTAAATACTACATAACATAGTCTCCAGTCCAGACAAGTGGTTGTCTATGTTTGACAGATCATGTCTCAAACCCCGGTTCCAGTGCAATGTCTTGTTGTGTTGGTGCTACGGTGAAATCATACAATGCGGGCTGGGTGTTGGCTTCATCTTCTCTTGGTGCACAGGCAGGTGCAAGATAAGAAGCATTCCATACCCACCCATCAGGAAGTCGATAGGTGTAAGGTCCTTTCTTTTCTATGATTTTAAGAGGAGATGTGAATTTATGGTCCCCTTTGCATAAAATTCCAGGTTTTCTTACTCTAATGAAGGAACCACACACAAATTTTGGTTCCTTAGCACCCCGCCATTTGTCTGTGAAAGCCTTATACTTTGCTTGCTTCTGTTCAACTGTTTTTTTCACAGCATCCTCATTTGGTGCATCAGGTCTTACCTTTAACAATTCAGCAATGTTCAGTTTTAGCATTCATCTGTTTTCCATGCAATAACTCTGAAGGCGATCTTTGCATTGTGGCATGTCGTGTAGCCCTGTTACTACCTTGCTTGCATGATGCAACATTTTGGCGACGAGGATGGGATTTGCCTGAAGGTGTGGCAGAAACATTTACAGCGCACCTTATCTGTTCTGGAATATGTGCAGTAGTGATTTTGTCCACACTCAGCACAGTAACATCTGGTATTGTAACTGCATGCACTGCATGTAAACAGCACAGTAACATCGGGTATTGTAACTACATGCACCTGTTGATTGGACTGGATACTGCAGCATACCTTAGCAAAATGACCAATCTTTTGGCAGTGATTGCACTGAGCTACTTTTGCAGGGCATCTTGTGTAGCTTGCAAGGTGTTGTGGGGATCCACAGTGAAAGAATGCTTTTGCTGTGCTTTGAATTTGCCGATTCTGTGGTTTTCCCTTGTGATTGTTTGTCTGCAGCAATAGTGGACTTTTCTGCAAAGGAGTCACAGCCTGGACTGGGCCTCCTGTATCCATGCTCATTATTTTGGCTTCTGCTATAGCTGACTCAACCTGGGTAGCAATGGTTATTGCCTTTTCCAGTGTGAGTTGTGGTTCTAGAAGCAAGCGTTCCCTTACACGAAGCATGGTTGTTTTCTCAATGAGCTGGTCTCTAATCATCTCATCTGCCATATTCCCAAAGTCACAAGTTACAATCAGACTCCTCAGAGAAGCAACATACTGCATTATAGTCTCCCCTGGTTTCTGCTCACGCTGGCAAAATCTGTAGCGATTAGCTACTACATTCACTTTTGGCACAAAAAAGTTCTTTACTGCAATGAGTGCAGTCTCATATTTATCATCGGCAAGGGGAAAAGTGTAAAATATACGCTGCCCTTCTGCTCCAAGGCAATGGATTAGCAGAGCACGCTTTCTTACTTCAGAAATCTCTGTAGCACTGATTGCAAGCAGATAAGTCTCAAATATATGGATCCAGGCAGTAAAAGCAATTGGAGACTCACCTGGGCTTTGCAGAAAGGATGCAGGTGGGTTCAGAGGCAGAAGATCCATCCTCATTGCCAAAATGTTGTATCATGCAAGCAAGGTATTAACAAACTTCAACAAGCCTTTATTTACCAAAGGTGAAACCTCTTTACAAAGGGGCTGTTGCTCCCCTCTGTAGCTCTCACTCAGCCCAGGCTCATCTCCTCCCCCCTCCTTTCTGTTTCCTGTGCTCCCAGATTCCCAACAGCCAGTACTCCCAGTTCTAATAATTACAAGCAGCATCTAAAACACCACACTTGCTTTTGCAGGATTAGACTGGACAAAGACATTTATTCAATGGTAGATTAGCTCTTTTTATGTCTCATCCTGCTTGTTTCCTTGGAATGCTGTGGACTTCACTCAATCAGTATCTAATAAAACATTCATCCTTAGAGGGGGGGCACTGCATAAGAATTCTCACACACAAGAAACATGGTCCATTACCATAAATTTCTCCAAATGCACATTACAGAACAATCAGGTATTATGTAATCAATATGACCTTTGAAACTACTGTAAACAAGAAAAGTGACACCAGATCCCTTTTTAAAGTTAAAAAGCATAGAAGTGGCATTTAAAGTTATACAGTTTCATCTGAAAAGTCTTAGACCATAGAATACAGGTAACACGTAATTGTCTTGGAGCCAAATCTTCATGAGTGTGCACATAAAACTAAGGAATAAAAAAAGTCATTTTGATTTTAATTTCCATTTATAATAATTGTACTAACACTATACCTACAGAAAGCAAAAGATATTCCCATTCCCCAAAACCACACACAGTATAAACAGACAAAAAAGACTGAGGATTGAGGAGAAAGAGAAACAGAAAGTGACTTGTCCAGGTCCTGCACCAGATCAATGGCAAGCTGGAAACAGAGCCTAGTTCTCCTCCTGACTTTCCATCAAGTGTCCAGTCCAATAGGGAGCAGAAGCTACTGCAGTTTTAAGTGCAGCACAATCAACTCTAAACTGTGCCATTTCCACTACTCAACTGAAAAAAATCAACAGATTCATCAACTGTGGATTAATGCATTGAGACAGGCGAGAGAGGCCCTGACACTCCAGATAATTCAGGATTCACCCACAGCTCTGCACTTCATTCACTGAAAGATTTATTACTATTATCTAAAATGATGTATGAAGAGGCCAGCTACTAATGCCAGCATTTCCAGACCCACGGATCTGCTAATCTTTATTATTTGACCTGGGTCTTTATATGGTTATGATAAATATCTTAGCTGAGTGGACAACAGCTGCAAGAGGCTCTGAAATTACAGGTACAAGGGCAGCAGTAACTAGCTCTCATTTTAGCATAGTCAGAAGCAGCACGGAACAGCAACACCAGATACATATATCAAATTTATATTCCTCTCATAGGAAATGATTGCTGCAAATTCCCAAGCCAGAAGGCTGTTTTTGCTAAGAAAAAAAAGGAAAAGAAAACGAAAACATAAAACACATACCCTTTGCTGTCACCCTCCTCTGCACCTTAGCACTTTTATCTGAGGAATGCAAATACAGAACATTAATGCTGCTGAAGCCTCAGATGGTGCAGACTGTAGCTTTTGTGCCTCATCTCCTTTGTATGTGGTAGATTTGAGGGAGTGGGAATGACCTATTGAGCTGCATACTCTTGTGTCCTGGCCATCCCCACATTCTCTCCTCCAGTGGTACACAAGGCACCCCACAGAGAAGGGAATGCACATCCGCCACACTGAGATAACCTCATTTCTCAATAACATTTCAGGAGTGGAGGGAGGAGGTGCGGCACGAAAGAAGCTCTGTACAGTACATCTCATTGTAATAATACAACATCACAGTCTCTCTAAATATCAGGTATCAGGGTTCAGCCTTCAGAGCTACAGTTGGCCACTGGGTTTTGTTCCGTTTTGAAACAATCCAGTAAGTGCTAATCAGTCATATCTGAGTAAAAGGTTATTTTTAAAGCACAGCGGGCAGCAAAAGCACTTACACTGCAAGTGCCTACGTCAATGGAGCGCAAGAGCAAACAGCATGCTGTATATTTAAAAAAAACAAAACCAAAATATTTTGGATTTCCCAGTGGGGAAGATTAGAGAGGAGGATTCATAGAATAGTTCCTACAGAGAGCAGGCATTTGCCTCATTTAAAGAAGGCATGAGGTATTTCAGACGTCTTGCTTTCAGAATATGGGCTGACACTGAACCCACATCCAGTGGCTAGGGGTATCAGAGCTCTTAGGAGCAGGGATTATTATTTACTATGTCTGGATAAGCCCCAATCTTGTTGAGGCCTACTAGCCCTTTTGCAATTTGTTAAATACTAATACATTTGAGTTCTATTCTTGGTTCTGCTATTGACTCATTGTATGACCTCAGCCTCTCAGTGCCTCTTTTTTACTGACAAGGTGCTTATATAACCCGCTACATTGTCATGACTGGGACAACAATCCTTACCCTTCTTGGTAAAGTGCTTCAAGATCTATGGCTGATGTAGAAGTGATAATCTTATTTCTATGAAATCAACATTATACCGACTGTGACCTAATAAAGTTACTTTAAATAAAAAAGGTTCAATACTACTACATTGTAGAAAATTTACACTGTATAATACAACAAATTTTTACCAGCTCCATTATTATTTATTAAAAGTAAATAATATGATTAATGTTCTGACATGATTGAGACATCAAGCTCTGTACCCAACATATTATTTATTATGCTAAAATTCATCATTGGAATAGGAGAACATCTTAATTAATACCACAAGTATTACAATGACATTGTATTGACAAGTGAAAAGTCTGCTTGAAAAAGGAGACAGAGTAAAAGACTGAAAAATATATTCCACTATGGATGTTTTTAAAAAATGACTGAATATTGAAATGAGTGGAGAAACTGCCATGCACGAAACAATTGTGTTTACAATACAGTACAGTCAG